AGAAGAGGAAGAGAAGGAGAGCCCTAAAAAAGACTTAAGAGACGTATCAGCCGATCTCAACAAATGGACCTTATTTGAATTGATTCAACCATGTTAAAAATTATATTCATGAGACAACTGGAAGTTTGAACACCAACTGGATATTTCATAACAATAACGAATCACTGTTAACTTTTTAGGTGTTATTATGGTACTATGGCTATCTGTTTTAAATAATCTTTATGTTTGAGAGATGTACATTGAATTATTAACACATGTAATGATATGAAGTATAGTGTTTGCTTCAAAATAATCTAGTAAGTGGAGATAAACATAAAACCAGATTGGCTGTGAGTTGATGATTGTTGAGGCTGATACAAGGGAGCTCATTATATGTGTGGCTGCTTGAAATTTTTCACAGTAAAAGTATAATAGCAGTAATAATAAAATAAATCATTAGTTGAAAAACATCTTTCAAGTATATGAATAAATATGTTACACCGTATTAATATAATGAAACATTATGGTGAATTAAAATTAAAGAAACAGCAACATGTAACAACATGAGTACATAACATAATGTTGAGAGAATAAAGCAGGCTGTGGAGTATGACACTATTTATATAAAGTTTGAAAACAAAACAAATGAGCATGAAACAAGACATTTCCAGACAAAGCTGAGTTCACTACCAATAAATTTGTTTTGTTTTGTTTTATGTGGAATTTTCTTAGATTTTTTCCAGTTTTATTGAGATACAATTGATAGACAGCACTATATAAGTTTAAGGTGTACAGCATATCAATTTGACTTATATATATTGTGAAATGATTACCATAATAAATTGACTTAACATCCTCATCTCTTATAGATACAAAAAAAAGATGTTTTCTCCTTGTGATGAGAACTCTTAGGATCTACTCTCTTAACAATTTTTGAATATACCAAATGGCAGTGTTAACTGCAGTCATCATGTTGACTGACATCCCTAGGTTACCACTAACAGATTTTTATTGCTACAACTTCTAAATGATGTACTTCAGGAAAAAGGAATTAAAACCAGAAGGAGGATCTGAGATGCAAGAAATAAATGGATGGCAGAGAGACAGGTAAATATGTGGGTAAATCTAAATGAGTGTTTATGCCATAAAACCATAATTATAATAGTAAGTAATATGGAGGGTAGAAAAGGTGAACCTAAAAGACAAGGCAGGAGAGATATATAAGACAGAGCAGGGGGCAGGGGTGCCTGGGTGGCTCAGTCAGTTAAATGTCTGCCTTCAGCTCAGGTCATGATCCCAGGGTCCTGGGATGGAGCCCCGTGTTGGGCTCCCTGTTCAGTGGGGAGTCTGCTTCTCCCTCTCCCTTTGCCTACTCCTCCTCCTGCTTGTGCACACGTTTTCTCTCTCTCTCTCTCTCTGTGTCAAATAAATAAATAAAATCTTAATAATAAAATAAAAACTAAAAAGAGTAGGAAAAGAATATGTCATTGCCAAGCCAGTGGGGAGGGGAAAGGGAAAGAAAACTCAATCAAATCAGAAAGAAGTCAGGAAAGGAGAATCAAAGACAGAGAGAGAGAAGTTAAAAAGAAAGCGCAAAATAAAATGTAAGATAAATCCAAATGTATCAGTGGTAACAAAATGTTAAGAGTTAAATGACAGAGATCACCAAATGAGATTTTTTTCAATCAAGCTACGTTCCATTTACAAGAGATACATCTGGGACATAAGAACACAGCAAGATTGAAAATAAAAGAACTGGGGTGGGGGATAAAATGGGAATAGAAATGCCAAGCAAATAAATAAAGCTGCAGTAGCCAAAGAAATGGCAGACGAAAATGGACTTTGAGGCAAAAGTACCTGGAGGGGATCAATAATAATGACAATGGTAATGACAAATGGGATAGCTCCCCAGGAAGATAAAACAACACTTTACTTGGATGCACCTAATAACATGAACTAAGAATATATTAAGCAAAAACTGATAAATCCACAATTATAGTGGGAATTTTTAACACAGCATTTTCAATTAATTGGCAGGCAAACATTAGTAAGTAGACAGATGTTCTCAACAACACAACACCAAGCCTGGCCTAATAAACATATGTTGAACTCTGCACTCAACAGCATACATGCAACATTTTTAAAAATTAACCCTGTATGAGACCACAAAGCAAGTCTCAACATCATGCAGATCAAAATACAATCAAATTAGCAATTTAAATCAAAAGGTCACAGAGGAGCACCAGGATGGCTCAGTCAGTGGAGCATGTGACTCTTGATCTCAGGGTTGTGAGTTCAAGCCCCATGTTGGGATTACTTTAGAGATTACTTAAAAACAAAATCTTAAGGGGCACCTGGGTGGCTCAGTCAGTTGGGCATCTGCCTTCAGCTCAGGTCACAATCTCAAGGTCCTGGGATCGAGCCCCATATCGAGCTCCCTGCTCAGCAGGAGCCTGCTTCTCCCTCTCCTCCCTGCTCATGCTCTCTTCTCGCTGTCTCTGCCTGTCTCTCTCTCAAATAAATAAATAAAATCTTACAGAGAAAAAAAAAAAAAGAAGGTCATAGAATTAGAAGACATGACAACAGGTGTGGCTCTAAATGGCCCCCTTTCCACCCTGGGCAGATTCATATGGCCCATTCCAGGCAACAGCCCTGACCCTTATCTAAAAAAGTAAGGAAGCCCTAGCACAGACTTCCATGCTTGTCACTTTGTCCAGTGTGGGTCTGTCCTGTCCCTGGTGTCAACTGGGGCCAGTCCCTGTGGGTTCCTGGAGGTCCCAAGGAGGAGCATCACAGGGTCTCCCCGGATAGCAGCTATGACTGGGGCAACAGGACTCTATCTCTTTCAGCTGAGGCAGCAGGTGGCGAGTACCCCGCATTCACACTCAGGCAACCCCAGCCTGGGGTTATCTCCTCACCCCAGGCTGAGTGAGCCACTCACAGGGAGCCTGCCCCTCGTTGCCCTTAGGCTGTGGGGTGGGCACTGGTGAGAGTCCCCGCACAAGCCTGGGCACGCAGGAGAGCAACTAGATCCACCAAGAGTGGGGACAACGGAGTCGGGCAGGGGTTTTAGAGTCTGCCCAAGGGGAGAGCTTGGATGGGCCATGGGACCCAGGCAGAAGTGGACCCTGGGTGCCCCATGGCGTGGGGACAGTCGTAAGAAGCCACTTGGAGGAAAGGCACTGCCTGCTTCTTGGCGGTACACTTAGAGGTTCCTCATTTAGAAAAACTCCAAAGGAGGGAGAGTGAGCTTTGCATGTCCACTCAGGCCAAAGAGCCTGAAGCCAGATCTCCTGTGGCCATCAGAAGCCACCCTTCCCCTTCCTGCCACCTCCTCTTCCTCTGCCAGCTCCAAACCCAGAGGAGGAGGGGGGAGGGGGCATGGCAGAAAAGAGGCACCAGCCTGTCCCTCCCTCCTTGGCTTCCCTGAACCACCCAGAGCTGAGGGGGCTGGGGGCTTGTCTGTGAGTGAGGTTCAGGGATGTTTTATTTCTACAGGACTGGATATCTTCATTATTAAATGAGAGGGTTATGATGGCTAAGAGTAACTGGAAACTTTTCCAGCAGTAACTTTGGGTCAAGGTGCCTGTCACAGGCCAAGCCAGTCAAACACCTGATGGAAGATGAACCCAGGGTGGGGAGGGGGTCGCCTACAGATCCTGCAGCCCAGGGCCTTGACCTTCCTGGTGTCTGGCTGTTCAGCTGTCGCTCAGTGTGGAGGATGGCCAGTGTCCCTCCAGTCAGTCTGTGCCGTCGGCCCTGCTACCTTGGCAGAGCAGCTTTGAGCTGATTCTCACCACGCACCCGGCACCTCCATCAGCTCTCAGACACCCCCAGCGCGGACGCCTTTCACGGGACTGGCACATTTTTAGAAATGGAGTTTGGGGGCGCCTGGGTGGCTCAGTCAGTTAAGCGGCTGCCTTTAGCTCAGGTCATGATCCCAGGGTCCTGTGATGGAGCCCTGCATCGGGCTCCCTGCTCCATGGGAAGCCTGCTTCTCCCTCTCCCTCTGCCTGCCGCTCCCCCTGCTTGTGCTCTCTCTCTCTCTGTCAAATAAATGAAAGAAAGAAAGAAGAAAGAAAGAAAGAAAGAAAGAAAGAAAGAAAGAAAGAAAGAAAGAAAGAAAGAAAGAAAGAAAGAAAGAAAGAAAGAAAAAGAAAGAGAGAGAGAGAGAGAGAGAAAGGAAGGAAGGAAGGAAGGAAGGAAGGAAGGAAGGAAGGAAGGAAGGAAGGAAAGAAAGAAAGAAGGAAAGAAAGAAAGAAAGAAAGAAAGAAAGAAAGAAAGAAAGAAAGAAAGAAAGAAAGAAAGAGGAAGAAAGAGAGAGAGGAAGAAAGAAAGAAAGAAGAAAGAAATGGAAGGGAAAGAAAGGAAAGGACAAGAAAAGAAAAGAAAATAGAAAAGAAAAGAAATGGAGTTTGGAGTCTGAGAACCCTGAGGCAGGGAACAGACTCTGCAGGGCCCACCACTCTGCTGTCCCACAGCCAGGGTTCCATCCCAGTCCCAGCTTGGCTGCAGTGCCCACCCTGCTCCTCCCTTCCTCACTCGTATCCCTGGATCTGTCCTCAGCTCCGAAGGCTGACCCAAGTTGGCAGGTCCCCAGAATCCTAACACAGCAGCTATCCGGTACCTAAATCGATCATTGCTAACAATTACTGAAAAAAAAAAAAAAAAGGTGTAGCTCCCTGAAGAACCTAATTTATAGTCAGTTTGGCTGGTTAGTGAATAGTAATGAAAAAGAAATGAATAATGAGGTAATTAATCAATCCAGTCGCTGGCTTTTGAAGACACGTTTTATTATGGAAATGCACCCACACACGTACACAAAGCTGGGAGAATGTCATGAATCCTCCATGTACCCTTCACCCAGCTCCAAGAGTTCTCAGCACTGGGCTGATCTCGGTTCACCTCGTCCTCCCCACACCCCCCACCACCCCCACACGTCACTCACCCCCCCACAGCGGCACTATTTTAAAGCAAATCCAAGATGTCTTAGCAGCTCATCCACAAATATGGCCCATTGGTATCTCTAAGAGCTGTCTCCAAGAGATAAGATCTCTCTCTTTTTAATGTAATAACTACCACTAGCACACTAAAAAAAAAAAACCCAGTAATTCCTTAATATCATTCAAATGCACAGTCAGCGTCCAAATTTCCCTAATTATTTCTTAAATGTCTCTTTACGAGCGGTTTATTTAAATCTGGATTCAAAGTCCAGCATCACGTGTGGTCAATACGTCTCTTAATTCTCTCGTAATCTGCAACAGTCTCCTTCCTCTTTTTCTTTTTCCTTGTCACTTATTTGCTGAAAAAAATGGAGTCATTTGTCATGTAGACTTCACCATATTCTGGATTCTACTGACTGCATCTGCATGGAGTTGTTTTGTTTTGGGGTTTTGGGGGTTTTTTTTTTGAAAGCTGTTGTGTATTTTATTTTTCCATTTAGGGGCGCCTGGGTGGCTCAGATGTTTAAGTGTCTGCCCTCGGCTCAGGTCATGAACCCAGGGTCCTGGGATGGAGCCCCGCATCGGGCTTCCAGTTCAGCTGGGAGTCTGCTTCTCCTTCTCCCTCTGCCTCTCCCCCTGTTTGTGCTGTCTCTCTCTTTCTCAAATGAATAAATAAAATCTTTAAAAAACATAATTTTTCCATTTAAAGACCACTTTTTTTTTTTCATTTCAAAACCATTTTTTTATGTGAGTATAGTCGACACAGTGTTGCCTTAGTTTCAGGTGTACAGCACAGTGATTCCCCAACTTGATACATTACGTTACACACACCACACATGTAGCTCCCATCTGTCACCATACAACCCATTACAATACCACTGACTGTGTGCCCTGTGCTGGGCCTTTTACTCCAGTGACTTACTCATCCCATAACTGGAAGCCTGTGCCTCTCTCTCTCCCCTTCACCCATTTTGCCCACACCCTGCCCCCTTCCCTCGGGCATCCATCAGTTTGTTCTCTGTATTTACAGGTCTGACACTGCTTTTTGTTGTCATTTGGTTTTTGTTTATAGATTCCACTTATGAGGGAAATGATATGGTATCTGTCCTGGAGTTTTAACACGTCCCTCTATAACTTGTGTTTCTACAAACTGGTAGTCGATCTACAGACCTCTCCGATACAATTTCCATTTCTTCAGTAAGAATACCATAGTTGTGCTGGGTGCTTCCTGTTGTGTCACATCAGGAGGCTCCTAAGGTCTGTCTGTCCCTCTCCCCAGGGAGACGGGACAGCGGGCTCGAGTGTTACCACCACCTTCACCGCAGGCCCGTCACCGGGCGCGGCCCCGCTTCACCAGAGGGGTCGCTTTGCAGAATAAGAGTCACTTCAAGTTGCTTCATTCGTCTCAATACTTCTTAATTTCAGTCACAAACAGAATAAAATTGTAGCTAGCTTATAAAAGTCTATAAACCTCAAAGTAATCCAACATCTTGTCAGTCATTATGACACAATTTCGTATTTAACTGTACATATTTTTACTGCGCTCAGACTAGAGTTATTCTGTCTTCACATGCAGATTTAACGTTGTCATGTTGTTTTGTTTTTTTTTTTTTTTTGAAAGTTGACAGTGGTTTATTAGGGTGGTAGAAATATGGGTGATTTTAATTTTCATCTTGAGTATTTTGTTTTGTTTTAATCAAAAAAGATACCTATTTTATACTGTGGAGTGAAAAAAGAAAAAGAAAATAACTGGTATGATTGAGAGATGGTGCAAGTACAGAAATATAGTCTTCCAAGTACTGAAAGGAAAGACTCCCATGCCCCACAAAAGGCTTAGAAAAAAAAAAAAGATGCAATAAGATTTGGTGAAAAACCATGAACTTTGGAGTTCTGCAGTTGGCTCTGTGGCTGTGCCACTTACCAACTATGACATATCAGGCAAAATACTTCATCTCTCTGTCTTAGATTTCTTATCCATAAAAGAGAGGAGAGAAAGACCTGCACACAAATTGGCTTACTCCAGAGGCTTAAGGAAACATGAACTCCTTTTTTTAAGACCCAACCCCTGTTTTCAAAATCCTCTGGGGGATTTCTCCAGCTTTAACAAAGATTTCTACATACTTTAACAAAGATGGTATGTGAAATGGCTATTATTTCTATTTTATTTAAGGGTTACTTTGCGGCATGACTAAAGTGCAGGGGGAGATGTATGGTATGTATTAGTAGGCAAGTGATTTGGGGGAAGGACTCTGTGAAAAGATTTGTGGGATTGAGAAGAAGCAGTTTCAAGCATGACTATGCAAGGAGAATGTTACAAAATGGTGTTCTTTCTTATTAGCGATCAGCAAGTAGCATGAAAGGCAACAGAGCTTGGCGTGAGCGAACAATCCTGAGGCCCAAGGCGTCTGGTTGGAGCCTTACATAAGCACCAACAGCTGGATCACATTTCCGGTTCAGATATTTAAAATAACACCATGAAGATCAAAATATTATTTTATCTATAGCATGTCCACTTTTATGTTTATTTTTCCTTGAAATAAAAATGTTCTAAAGTTACATGGCTTTCCACAATCCTTGTCTAATTCATTTTTCTCAACTGAGGCAATGAAATTCCACACAGTCAGATTTTCTTATACATCTTAGTGTTTACACTTGGTTAGAAAATCCAATTATTCTGGATTTCACAGGAGTTCTATTTTTTATTGATAATTTCTTTCAAACAAAAGCTAATCTTCAACTTCTTTAGGAGTTACTAGAAAAGGAAGCACCAGTTTGGAGAGAAAAATAAGAATATGGTTCTTTTAATTTTGAACCCTTCGGCAGGATCTAAATCTCAGGTGCTCAGGATAAAATGTTGACTCTGGTGCTTTCTTCCCATACTCACAGTATTACAGAGACATTCGTAATGTTCCCTCTTCTAATTAGAAACAGTAAGTTGCATTTGCCTCCTGATATAGAGTCCTGGTACAGTATGACAGAACATATATTCAAGCACGGAATTTACAAGTAAACCAACATTTCCTTGCACAAATGCATAGGAGACTATTGAATATCAAGTATAGCACAAGGGTAAGACCACAGAGGAGACACCAGGATTCAGTGCCCCTCGTTTTTAAACAGTCGTTTCTCCAAAGAAAAAGCAACACTGGTTTGCAAAAGTCATATAATCTTTTCAAATTACTCTGCATAAAGATGTACAAGTTCCCCAGAACATGGGGGGCCAGTTTATTACCAAGACGGCCTCTAAAAGGGATGGCTTCCCTCCTCCGCCATCATCAGTGACATTGGAACACCCGGTCTGTGTCAGGAGGCTGGCTGGGTTTAAAAATCCAGGCTCACTTTCTGTTAACAAAACGCACGTGGATGGGCCCCCCTGGCATCAGCAGCCCATGGGTTTTTGCAGGAACGGCTTTAGTCCAAGAGGATGTTTTGATCTCAAAATGCTGAAGCAACTAAGAAGAGAAAGAGAGATGGGGGATTCAAAATGGGGACAACAGAGGCCTCGCAGTGCTCTGAATAAGTGCCCCTCATCTTCCTGCAGTGGCCATGGGCTGCAGGGAACCCAGGAAGCGGGCACGGCCATGGTGCAGGACACCAATCGCCGGTCAGGGGGATGCTGTGGGTCTGAAAGTAGCACTAGGTCCTGCACAGGAGCCCAGCCTGTCCACTGAGCAACTGGGAAGTTCACGTGACAAAGATATGCAAACACAATATTCAAATTACTTCCATTTTCTCAGCCATTTCAAAACTCCAACTCCTCTGCTTCCTCTTTAGGTTGAGGTAAAGAAGGAATCAAAGGAGCAAAGAGGACAGAGGGACAAGGTTTCCCTCCGGCTGGGAACCTGAGGTGATATAGGCCCAGGGGAGCATACTGCTGTTGGCAGGTGAATCATCCAAACAGGCTTCAGTGATTAATGTCCTCAATTTAAATATTCTCCATCTGTACCTTTGATTCCATTTCTCATTTCTGCGGTTCAAAAGGAGAACCAGCTCTACCATTCAGGGTAAACTGGAAAGTACCTCAACAGTGAGTTTTAGGGGCGCTGGGTGGCTCAGTCGGTTAAGCGTCTGCCTTCAGCTCAGGTCCTGATCTCAGGGTCCTGGGATCAAGCCCTGTGTCTAGCTCCCTGCTCAGCAGGGGAGTCTGCTTCTCTTTTTGCCCTTGCCCCCACTCATGCTCTCTCTCTCTCTCTCTCTCTCTCAAATAAATAAAATCTTTAAAAACACACACACAGTGAGTTTTAAAGAGCACCAAAATATCCATCAGCCTAAAGCAATAACCTCTGCCACCAACTGGCCCTGGCCTGATGTTCAAGGTCAGGTTGGCTTAGGGAACTGAAGGCAACCTGCTCTAAAGACCCATGTCAGGGGCGCCTGGGTGGCTCAGTCGTTAAGCGTCTGCCTTCGGCTCAGGTCATGATCCCAGGGTCGTGGGATCGAGCCCCACGTCGGGCTCCCTGCTCCATGGGAAGCCTGCTTCTCCCTCTCCCACTCCCCCTGCTTGTGTTCCCTCTCTCGCTGTATCTCTCTCTGTCAAATAAATAAATAAAATCTTAAAAAAAAAAAAAAAAAAAGACCGTGTCAGAGCACACATGGGTTCCTGGTGGGGGTGGAAGGGCCGTGCTCACAAGCACACTAGCTGCTGGCCCCTACCCTGCTGCCCACTGGGTCCAGAATAAAGTCCAGCCTAACGAAGTGTCAGTTTTGGAGAACATATAATGTCACATGGGATCCAAGCTGCCCACCCCCGCCCTGCCCCGACTCCCTCTCTAGCCTCGTCCCCCAAGCGAAGCAGCAGGACCCACTGACGGGTCCTCAGGTGGGCTGGGGTTCCAGGGGAGGTCAGGCAGGGGAAGGGGCAGGGCTGACTGGGGACATATGTTGGACCCCCTTCGTTGTCACATTTCAAAAGCCAAGCTGAATGACCCGTATTTCGGCAGCTCCAACACGTTATAGCATCGAGATAGCTTCAGCACAACATCGAACCTCTGACCTTCGGTTCTGACTTTGCAGAACTGCTTGCACATCCCACAGGGCAGGGAGAACTCACGTGTAGGTCTCCTCACTTCAGGGCCAATATGCCACATGGCCTTCTTCCCTTTCTGAGTGGGCAACACTATGCTCACTAAAAAAAATCCAAACTACACAGGAAACGTACGAGCAAAACACAAAGCCCTCTTGCGCCTCAAATCCCAACTCCCAAGGAGCTAAAGCGTACTTCCTAAAAATTCTCTGTGTGATACAAATACCCTGTTCCCGTTTGACGGAGCTCCATTAATGTCCTTTCCCTTTCCGAAGCCAAAGGCATGTGCCCTGTCCTACTGGGGGAGACTCCATTTATTTGGTTAAGGAAAGCCCGTCCGTTAAGTGTGCTAAGAGATTTTCTTCATGAATGTGTGTGGAATGCTATCAATTCTTTCTGGGGGTGGTCATATAATTTTCCTCCTTCAATTAGCTACTGTGGCGAATGATATCAACAGATGTCCCTGAGGTGGGCCATCCTTGCATTCCTGAATACACGTGATGTGCTTGGGGATGCACTTCTGTTTCCTACGCTGCTGGATTCGGTTTACCAATTTCTCATTTAGGATATTTTCCGTCTTTGTTTTGTTTTTTTGTTTTTTTGTTTTTTGGGGTTTTTTTTATTTTTTTTTTTAAAGATTTCATTTATTTATTTGAGACAGAATGAGAGAGAGAGAGCACATGAGACGGGGGAGGGTCAGAGGGAGAAGCAGGCTCCCTGCCAAGCAGGGAGCCTGATGCGGGACTCGATCCTGGGACTCCAGGATCATGACCTGAGCCGAAGGCAGTCGCTTAACCAACTGAGCCACCCAGGCGCCCTTTTCCGTCTTTGTTAATAAATCAGATTGGCCGGTAGTTTTCCTTTCTTGTATTATCCTCTCCAGGTTTTGAATATTGGGGCTATGCCAGTCTCATAAAAATGAGACTTCCTTTTTCTAGTCTCTGTTTGTATAAGATGATGATTACCCATTCATCAAGGTTTGATAAAACTTGCAATGAAACTGTCTAGGTCTGGAACACTTGGGAGGTAAATCTTAACACCAACTCCATGTATTCAGTATCTGAGGTCTATTCTCTTTTGAGTCAATTTGGGCAACCTATGTTTTCTAGTACATTGTACATTTTATCTAAGTCTTCAAATGTATTAGCAAAAAAAAAAAAAAAAGCCATTTGTGGTATTTTCTTGATTTAAAAAAATCAACGACTGCATTTTTAGCCATGTCTCCTTTCTCATTCCTAGCATGGCTCATTTGTGCCCACTCTCTCTTTTTTTTTCCTTGACAATTACGAATAATGATGCTCCGTTTCTCTATTTGCACAAGTAGAAATGAGGACTCAAGGAAAAACTGCAGCAGGTACATTTGTATGTTAATAGCACCAAACAAACAAAACCCCACCGCTGCCACCAAACACCCCATTTCTGACCCCTTCCAACGGGAGCACCGGGCAGGGCTGGCCTCTGTGCCCTCAGCTGCCATCTTGCTCTCGTGGTGTCCCCTCTGGTTCTTCAGGCAGCCAGAGCGGGGGGAGCAGTAAGCTCCACGGCCGACTCTCTGTAGGAAGCGGCCTCTGCCTGTCCTGGAGGCGGCTGCAGAATCTATGGAGCCAATTTTACGGAACATGAGACCTTCCTGAACACCCAAGGGCAGACACTCAGAGCAGGTGCAGGGACAACCGCCGCTTCCACTTCTCTGGCACAGACTGTGTCCTCACACACCCAAGAAGTAGGTATTTGGCCCATTTCGTGCATAAGGGAGTAGGCTTCGCATGGCTGAGAAACCTGCCCGGAGTGTCGGAACCGCAAACAGCAGAGCTGGGATTTGAGTCCGCTTGCCCCGGAACTGCCATCCACGCCGCACCGAGCTGCCTCTCACGTCAGACGCCACCGGGATGGGCCAGTGTCCGCAGGGCCCACACCGTCCCCAGGAACGGCTGCGCTGGTAGCAACACCATTGAGCCTGGCCAGCAGCCACCGCATCTCCACTGAGGGGGAGATGACCATGTGACACACTGGTCACCGGGCTTCCTCCCACCTGAGCCACCCACCTGGAGAGGTGTTCTGCTCCCACGCCTCCTGCCGCATGCTCTCTGGCTGGGCAGAAGCCCCTCAACTTCCCAGCTCTCAGAGCCGTCCCCAAGTGCTGACCGTCCAGAATCCCTCTCCACCCCTGCCAGGCTGGCCAGGCTTCCATAGCGCCTTACGCTCTCTCAGGCCATCTGTCATCAAGGTCCTAACCGCTCAGTGTCCTGCCCTAAGCTCTGTGAGGCTGCAGGAGAGCACCCCCGTGACATGGGGGGGAATGGAGGAAGGAGTCGAGACACCTGGATCGTGCCACGCACCTGCCACTCTGTGACCATGGCAAGTGGCTCCAACTCTCTGAGCTTCAGTTGCCCCCTCAATAAAATGGGGATCCTGGGTCACCAGGTAATCTCTACATTCTTCCAATGCAATGTCAATGGCAGTAGCTCCCAAACCTTGGGCCAAGGTCTTCCACGGCTATGTTAACAGTAGTCTTCCTAAACTTGCAGGGAAACCTAATGAGTAGAATTTTCTCTACTAAAGTGTTTTCTTTTATAAAATTTCCTTCAGAGATGATTTAGCTCGTGCTACAGCACAAACTGAAATACAGTATAGGCAGAAGAGCAACATTTTAATAGTAAGAGATTAAATATAACAAAGCCAAGCCTTCCTGCTGTTTCACAACCTAAACAAGTGTGAGAACCGCCGCGCGGCCTAAGTGGCTGGTTCACATGTCTCTCAGAGTGCGGCCCAGCCATCACCGGCGTCAGAACCCCCTGGCAGCCCCACCCCAGACCCACCCAATCCCTCTCTCTGTGCTGGCCCAGGAACCTGCATTCTAAGGGTCCTCCTAATGCCCTCGCTGCTCCAAAACGTTCGAAGACCACTGGTTTGACACCTTCCCATTCATTTCTGTCGAGAGCTCCTCATGCGATGAAGAGCTGAGCTCTTGGACCCCTGTAGACCCACCACAGCATGCATACCTCCCAGCCCTCAGGCCTCCAAGAGCCCCAACTGCTGCTCCACGGTTCCAAGGAGAAAAGAGGCTCGGTGGGTGGTCAGGGGACCCAAGGAGGTGGCATTTTAAAATATAAAAGGGATTTAACATGAAGCTGGTGCACTTGAGTTCTCCAAATCACATCTCCTTTCCCACCTAAGCCTTGGTCTGGTGGAGCCCAGGAAATGAGGCCGAGGCAGAAGGCTGACGTCTGGCCCCCACACGCCTACCTGGATCAAGAGGAGGTGGATCTCCAGCTCTGCGATTCTCTGCCCGATGCAGCTCCGAACCCCGTACCCAAAGGGGATGGACCCAAAGTTGTCAACTCGGTCCAGGCTTCCCTTCCGCAGCCAGCGCTCCGGCCGGAACTCCCTGGGCCGAGGGAAGTTCTCATCCGCATAGGACGTGGCATAGTGGCAGAGGGCCAGCTGGGTCTGAGGACACCATATGCAATATTAAAGGAATAAAGAATAGGATCAGGCAAAAGCAGAGCAGAGGCAAGAACCCGGTTGGCCAGTCCCTCCCGAGGTGCTTCTGGCCAGGAGGAGCCACATAAGGGCCCCCACGGAGAGCAGTCCTCCTTCAGTGGACGCCCACCTCTCATCCACTGCAGCCACTGAGGAGATTCAAGTCCTTCAAACTTCTCCCCCCACCCCCACAGCTGCTGTGTCCACCAGCCCCTGAGGGAGGGAGGAGGAGAAAGGCCTGCGAGCTACAGAAACATCTGGCTTTGCTTTTGCCAGGGCAATGAGCACCTCCTTGCTTCCAAAGCCCCATCTTCATTATAAAATACATGCAGTAGGAAAGGAACTTATTGATATTTGCTTGGGCTCAAGGACTTCCTAATATACCAGCAGATTTCCCTCTCAGCCACCATGGCAGAGCCCAAGTCCCATACCCTGGCAACCAAACTCACGCCTTTGGGAATCAGGTACCCGCCAATGACCAGGTCTTCCTGGGTGATTCGGCCATTCCCCGGCAGCACTGGAAACAGCCTGGAAAAGAAGCAGGAATGGGAGGGCGCCTGGGTGGCTCAGTTGGTTAAGCGACTGCCTTCGGCTCAGGTCATGATCCTGGAATCCCTGGATCGAGTCCTGCATCGGGCTCCCTGCTCAGCAGGGAGTCTGCTTCTCCCTCTCCCACTCCCCCTGCTTGTGTTCCCTCTCTCACTGTGTCTTTCTCTGTCAAATAAATAAATAAAATCTTTAAAAAAAAAAAAAAAAAGAAGCAGGAATGGGGTGGTCACTTTTAAATTACTTTGCTAAACTTTCAAAAATCTGGACATTTTGCCATTTTCATTTTTCTAAAACGTAACTTGCGGTCCAGTTTCAACTAGGAAATCTCATAAGGATCTTCGTGGCTCCTTAGCTTTGGCCAGGGAGTAGTCTAAGGAATGGGAAAACAGGTCCCCTAGTCAAAAATGTTTATGAAACACAAAGCAGAGTTTTGAACGTGCTACTGTGTTCCCAGAAGGGATAATCCCAAGTCTGGGAAATTTATGTGTGCATGGGACCCCCTTTATCAAGGAACAGTCCACAGGACTCAGGGGCCCTGGAAACACATGTTGAGAAATGCTCTACTTCAGCTTTTGGGCTGTCTCCGAGAGGCAATCCAGAGAAAACTCTGAATAAAGCTGCAATCGACGAATACCAGTAAACACACAGCTAGCCTTTTCCCCCCCGAGGTTAAACAACATGCTGTGGATTAAGGATGCACCACAACTTGAAACACCATTATCAAGTCAAGTTTAAAAGAATTATTGTAGGGTATACCATGTATCCACTTCTGCTCTTCTACGTGGCAGTTCCTCAACAAAATCCTTGAACCTCAGAATCCTCGAACCTCAAAGGAGGAAGAAATCTCACTGGCCACCTGATCCTACCTCCCACCCAAACCCACCCAAGGCCACCCATATCCCTCACGTCCAGGCTTTTCCAAGTGTTGGTAAAGCCCTGTCCAGGAGCGCATGAGTCCACTTGGTGTCACCAATCTAACTAGCATAGCCACACAAGAACCACAGTAAGCAGGTTTGTTAATTAGCCAAACAGCCCAAACTATTTTCCTGATCAATCCGTCTTGTTCTGCTTTGCTTTCAGAGGAACAGGAACCATGGAGTACTGATCCCGGAGCATGCTGGGGAGCTTGGTGAACCAAATGACTAAAGCAGGTACCATGTCATGGGGTGATGGCTCCAAAGAGCTTTATGAAGAACAACGAGTATTTCATGCCGTAAAGCAGAACAGCCTGTCTGCTATTCTGACAAGGGCAGAGAGGAAACAGATAGTTGTAACCATCTCCTTCCCTAACATTTTGGCCCCTGAAGGTTGTTGGCCCACTTGTTTTGGACCTGGTTTTTAAGTCCAAAGCACAAAATCATAGTGATAAAGAATCAGAGACTTAAAAGACAGTTTTTGTTTTTTTTTTTTCTTTGTTTTTTTTTTATTCTTATGTTAATCCCCATACATTACATCATTAGTTTTAGATGAAGTGTTCCATGATTCATTGTTTGTGCACAACACCCAGTGCTCCATGCAGAATGTGCCCTCCTCAATACCCACCACCAGGCTAACCCATCCTCCCACCCCCCTCCCCTCCAGAACCCTGTTTGTTTTTCAGAGTCCATCGTAAAAGACAGTTTTTGACATGAATTTTGGTGAGCCTTTTACCTCAGCGTTTCCTTCAGCAGAGCTCTGACCAGTGGGACTTTGGGGACGTCGGCTGCCGTTGGGACGTGCCTTTCCCCCAAATTCTTAACGATCTCCCGGTACACGGTCTGCTGCACTTCTGGGTGCCTCGCGAGGAGATACACTGCCCAGGATAAGGTGAAGGATGTCTGATAAAGAAACAGGCAGGCACGGGCACGTAGGTGAATAACACCAGGGCTTAAGCAGCAGGCAACCTCGGCCAGGAAGTCACGTAAGCATAAGCCCACGTGCAAAGTCATGTCCATTCAACTCTATCTGAGCACGTTAGGGCTTAGCAAAGCAAAAGCTGACTTTCCCTAAATCATGCCAGAAAAAAAAACAAATATTTTTGGAAAGTAGCATCAGCTATGTGATTCAATCGCTCTTTCAATGAAGGGCTGCAGGAGAAATTATTTTTGAACTTTTTTGGATCACATAAGAGCAATCCTCTTCGATGGCGTCCGAGAGGACCTAAGGATGCTGGTCAAGCCTGGAAGTGGTGCCTGGAACTTTCCGTGACCTTCTTTGCAAGGGTCATCTGGTTTCTTGCTAGGAAGGGCCGGAGCCTGCCGGTCAGCCCAGAACTGTTCAGTCTGGCACTGCGCAGGCCCACGATGGCTGGGCGGGGCCTGCTCTGGCTGCCTCCTGGTGGGGGGAGGGGCGGTATTTGTCCTCCACTGTTTCCATGCTCTTCTCAAGTAAAGCAACTTGTAAGAATTTAATAGATCATTTATGCAAAACAGTACCATTTTTTTTATACCACGTCTCAGACTGAAGAATTAAATTTCTGGTTATTGAAAATAATTATATCTTATTCTCCTAGTTTCCAAGACTCTCACTACAATTTTCCCAATTATCTATGTGACTGTATTTCACTCTCATAAACAAGGAAAGTCCACAGTATAAATGCCTTTTCTTTTACCTAAAAAAGTCAGTAGACCATACTGATATCATTTCCCTGTAATAGATATTTTAAATTTTTAGAGGGCAAGCTCTCCTATAATATATAATGTTCAAGTTCTTCCTTATAAATGATAAGGAAAAAATTTAGAAATTTCTATTAAAATCACATTTCTGTGGAAAAACCAAATGCGGTATATCCATACAATGGAATACTACAGGCGTACCTTGGAGATATTGTGGATTGGGTTCCATACCACCACAATAAAACGAGTATCACAATAAAGCAAGTCAAATGAATTGTTTGCTTTCCTAGTGCAAATAAAAGCTATGTTTACATTATACTGTAACCTATTTAGTATGCAATAACATTATGTCTAAAACAACAATGTGCCCACTTTAATTTAAAAATACTTTATTCCTAAAAAATGTTAACCATCACCTGAGCTTTCAGCAAGTCCTAATCACCCACTGAGCACAGACCAATGATTCTATTTTTATATGTTATTATAACAAATATAATATATACTTATATATTATACAATATAACGTGTATTATATATTGTTATAACAGATATAATAATAATGAAAATGTTTGAAATATCATGAGAATTAGCAAAACGTGACATGGAGACACAAAGTGAGCAGATGCTGTTGTAAAAATAGAGCCGATAGACTTGCTCAATGCAGGGTGGCCACAAACCTTCAATTTGTAAAATAAAAACAACACATTAATCTGTGAAGCACAGTAAAGCGAGGGATGCCTGTACTCCATAATAAAAAAGAATAAACTACTTTGATATGCAACTACATCGGTGAATCCTGAAATCATCTGCTGACTGAATGAAGCTGGATGCAAAATACACACTGAATAATTCCATTCCTATAAATTTCTAGAAAAGTGCGAACTGATGCTCAGCATCAGAAAGCAGATCAGCGGTTGCCTGGGGCAGGGAGAGACGGACGGAAATGGGGGTAAGGAAATTCCAAGGGTGGTAGAAATGTTCAGGATCTTGATGGTGGTGGTAGTTTCATAAATGATTGCATTTGTGCTTATCCAGTATCTGCCAACAACTTATATCAAATTGTACGGTTTAAAAGGATGCAGTTTCTTTTGCATAAATTATACTGAAATAAAGTTTTTTAAGTAATATTTTAGAAAATGAATATGAATTGTAAGAACGCTTCTGCTGATGTGGCCTCCAGGGGCCTCTGGTAGGAACGGTCCTTTCTGCGCTCCACCTCATGTGATGCTCTTAGTTACCACAAGGGGGCAGGAGGGACAACGCACCCAAATTCGTTCAGAGGCAAGGTCAACCACTCACTCATCCCTTCCCCATTCAAGCAAACCCACACCACCCATCACATTCACATGACTGATTAGAATTTTCATTGATCACATTGATTTCATTGGTTAAATTGTTTTATTGTTGTAGAAGATCCATAAGAATAAGGAGTTTTTACTGTTTTTTGCTTTTACATGTTTATGTGACATCATAATAAAAACAATGTCAACCCTGGGGGAGGGGGTTCTCCCTTTAAACAGAAGGTCTGTGCCTTATTCAAGTTCAGGAAGCACTCCTGTAAAGGAAAAGGTTTGAGTTCATGAGCTTATTTGTTTAGTTTTGAAGGGCTTTGGAAAGAATAAAGCACCAGGCAAATCTTAATTATTTCACGCAACTAACTTTTCCTCCACCAAATACTAAAAGCCTAGCCCTGCTTTTTCCTGTTTCACTACTTCTTTTAGCAAATTTAAAAATTTCTCTGTACATATATCCATATGTATATCATTTTTCATACATGAATAAATGTATCCTATTACACATATGTTTTAGAAGGAAACTTGGCTCCTATCCCCCCACCACTCCCCACCCCCCAGGCAGGTAACCCATGTTAACAACCCAGTGTGCACCCTCCATACTTCCTCCACACTCATAAAATCACATACAGGTACGGACGTGCACACAGACGGGCAGGGGCCGGGCCACTGTTTGTTTTACCAACGGGAGCACGGCATACACAGTTTCTGTGGCTTCATTTCTCACTTAACAACAGGGGATGCAATTCCCACCCAGTCCACTGACAGTGCTTTGTTTCATTTGGATATTCATCCTTCCTTGGTCACAGTAGGTTATTCATCTGTTACAATAAATCTATTCATCGGGATCTTACTTAAGACTGATAGACATGGGGTGCCTGGATGGCTCAGTTGGTTAAGTGTCTGCCTTCAGCTCAGGTCATGATCCCAGGGTCTGGGATCCAGTCCCACTCTGGGCTCTTTGCTCAGTGGAGAGTCTGCCTCTCCCTCTCCATCTGCTTCTCCCCCCAGCTCATGCACTCTCTCGCTCTCTCTGACAAATAAATAAATAAAATCTTAAAAAAAAAAAGACTGATAGACACATATTCATAAGTCGAACTGTTTATTAAACGTTTCTTTCTTTGTGCTCTCATTAGCAGGTTTTGGTTTAAAAGTGACGGTGGCTTTATAAAATGAATTGGGGAGTCCTCCATGACCTGCAACACTTTAAATGATAAATAATAAGGTTTCTAACGTCTGTGCCTTCTTCATTTTTGATATTATGAAGCAATGGACCAATGCTTGCAAATCGGGAATGATTTTTAAACTTTAAAACATATTGTTACTTTGTGTGCATGATAACTGAATGGGGGTTGCATTTTTTTTGCAGAATTATGGTTTTACATTTTAAAATACATGTATATTATTTAAATGTTAGAGTTTCCTCCTGGAGACATTCAGCAGTGAAGCAGATGTTCAGTTAGCACCAACACAAATGCACATATGAGATTACTCGGAAAGGCCCCCGGCTTCAGCTGTGCTTTGCTTATCAAGAAGAGAGCAAGGCTGAGACGCTCACCGTGTCAACACCAGCCAGCAGCATCTCTGTGGTGTTGGCGTAGATCTCCTCCAGCGTCAGCTCCTGACTGAGGAAGAGGCATGTGAGCAGCCCCCCACTCACGCTCTCCCCACGGTCCATGTGGCACTGTATGTCCCTCAGCTTGTTGTCAACGTGGATTTGGCCTGTTTGAAAAGAGTTATTTCTTTTGAAAAAAGTTTTGGTTGAGAGTAATCTCTTCATCCTCCCAATAACTTAATCTGTGGCAGGTTCCAAAGCTAAACGAAACCCAGGTCGATTTACTGTCAACCTGGGAAGCTCATCCACGTGCTTGTTTGTATAAATGAATGAAAAGTTAAAGACATGGGCACCTGGGTGGCTCAGTCGGTTAGGCATCTTCCTTTGGCTCAGGTCATGATCCCAAGGTCCTGGGATCGAGTCCCAGGTCAGGCTCCCTGCTCTGCGGGAAGCCTGTTTCTCCCTCTCCGACCCCCATTCATGCTCTCTCTCACTATCTCTTTCTTTCTCTCAAGTAAATAAATAAAATCTTGAAAAAAAAGTTAAAGACAAGCTAAGCATCTCTTCCTCTCTAAAAATAATGCAAAAGATACTTGCAAATGTTTGCTTTACTCATCAAAGAGCCAAGAAAGCTTTGGAGTAACAGAACTACAGATCCCTTCTTTTTTTTTTTTTCCTACTATGTTTCCAGAAGACAGAATGGAGTGAGCGTAAAGGCCATGTTACATAAAAAGATAGTGGCACTTTCAATCCATTAGAACTTACATATTCAAATAAATGTTGGCCTTCAAAAGACACTATGGGACACATCTTTCAATGTCAGTGTTGTTCTAAAAACATTGTTCTAACAAACATTTTGCAAAGCTTTTCTTTTTGGAAATTCTTGGTTAGCTATGTAGGGAAACTAATCTCGCTTTGCTGGGTTTGAACACAGTATTGTTTCCTAGTTTGTTTTGCCAGAGGAAGTTGTCTCTTTCCAAAAAGCTGCAAATGAGAATGTTCGAGTGAAAGTGCACAGGCCCAAAACGCTGTCCATCTCAAGCACTGACAGAATTACTGGACCAAAGTCATCATCTCCCTTAGACAACATTTACTTGCATAAATCACCGCTAGCATGTTTGTCACAATAAAAAGAATTTAAAAAGGAGAACTCCGTCGTGTTGCTGATAGTGGCAACCCACATGCATCTCGTCATCTGAGAAGCCGAGCCAAATACCGACCGGGTCCAAGTAAAAACGCGCAACTGCATCAGGCCACCCTCCGGAACGTCACCCCGCCGGCAGCATGAGCATCAGATGCACCACGATCCACGCAGTTGTGTCAACTGGTGAGACAACAGGTGCCCCTCGATTCTTCTCTTACTGAATTTGAAGAGTCCGTCCCAGGACCTGCAGAACTCCCGCCAGGGTTTCGGGATGAAGGGGCGCAGCCACCTGGGGATGGCGCCCGCGTACATGGAGGTCTTGAACATGCTGAACATGAGCCCCAGAGCCTCGATGTAGTCCACGGTGGGCTGTGGGACGCTATTCTCCAGGCAGCCCAGGCGGCTCTCATAAAGGATGGTGGCCACCCCTGCACAGGAGAGAGAGTTTAAAAACCCTCTTCTTCTCCATTACTCACAGTATCAACATGCAATATCCAGCCATAAAAGTAAGTTGCAAAAGTAATCGAGGTGCCTTCCTCCAGCGAGGTTCTACTGTATCACCAGAGGTTTCCTCTACCAGGTCCTGAGCTACAGGGCTCTGAGTATTCAGTGCTGATGGAAAACAGGTCGGCAGGTCATTCCTTCTGCCTGGCAGGGCTCAGCCGCATCACACCCCCTCCCTCCCTCCCCTCCCGAGGGTTTGTTCAAGACCCAGGATGCAAAGTCCCCAACCTTTTGGCCACTTGCCCAACGTTGGGGAATTGAAAGGTGGCTCCTCTGGGCCAGGAAGGGGGGAGCCCCAGAGAGCCTCAGGAGCAGAGGAAACAGCCTCAATGAATCAGGAAAAGCAGGATTTTCCACTGTTTTTACAACTCATCTCTCTGTTGATTTCGTTACTTTGTTCAGGGAGCATTAATATAACTTTAAAAAGTTAACTTAAAAATTAAATTTGAAATAAGGTAAACTCACTTTTAAAAAAGGAGAACCCTGATAGAAGGTCCTTGGGAAAAAGCAAAGTACAAAACAAGATGTTTGGTTCACTACTGTTTTGTTTTGGTTTTTTTTTAAGTAAAAGGTAGGGACACCTGTCGGCTCAGTAGGTTAAGCGTCTGCCTTCGGCTCAGGTCATGATCCCAGAGTCCTGGGATGGAGCCCCACATCAGGCTCCTTGCTCAGCGGGGAGGCTGCTTCTCCCTCTGCCTTGCCTGTCCCTCCCCCTGCTTGTGCTCTGTCTCTCTCTCCTCCTCTAACCAAAAAAAAAAAAAAAAAAAAGAATATTCACATGTATCCCTTAAAGAAACTGGTGACCTCCCCAGGTCAAGAGAGAGGGAGAGGGCGGGGACTTTTCAATGACTACCTTTGGGGTTTGATTTTTGACTTTAGGACATGGATGGGAATGTCCTACCCATCCCACATGAATTTTAAAAGCCAGAATGACTGTGGTAGAGGCCCTCCAAACTTCTGTTTGCTACAAACTGTGCTAAAGCAAAATGTGCAGGAATAAGGAGCATGATTCTTGAGTTAAATAGACCTGGATTTGAAACTAAGTTTCTGTCACTAAAAATGGAGGCAGGTTTTCAGTTTCCCCACTTGTAAACCAGTGGCGGTGGAACACCTGGCTAAGTTTGCACCGTGAGGGCTATGGGTGTGTATGTGCGGGGCTCAGCACAGTGCCTGCCGGGGACACAGGGCATGCCCAGTGGATGAGAACTATCATTTTGGGCAAATGTCCTTTCTTCCATCTACCTCCTGACTTCACCTCACCTTCCATTGAATATTTGAAGAAAAGTTCATTGACATTGGTCACAGTTTCTCCATCTCCTGCCTGGCTCTTGAGGATGTAGATTCTTTTAATTAAATCAGCAATAACTTGGTTGATTTCTCCTGAAAAAACGGCCACATCTCTTGGTTTCAGAATTCTTTGTCTCAATACACGTCTCATCTTGAGCCACTGTTCACCCTCCCTAGAAGAGTAAAGTGAGCTTCAAATAATCTTACTTCCACTGACATTCTGGAAAAGAACTCAGGGAACCTCTAAGAGTTTCCCCAGCAATAAAAAAGCCAACAAGGTCTGCCGATCCAAATGGAATTAAGATACTGTGCAGGGAGAGGAGAGTAACTTCAGCCTTGCCGTCTGTTCCCCTTGAAGCAAACTTTAAGGGGAAAAACTGCCCCTGGGAATCATCTTTATGAAAGTAATATGATTTCCTTTGAAAAACCTTGCAAAACTGTTATAATAATGAGACACGAGGCTGTTGTGATTAGCAAAAGAGAAAAAGGTTTATGTGTATAAACTCCTGAACCCTGAGTCCTGAACTGAGCTCCTGGGCAGAGAGTGGATAGTGGATGCCAAGCCGCAGGTGATGGTGCAGAGAGCAAAGAGCTTTTGCAGCATTTGGCCACTCCCCTCCAGGGCTGGACCAATGGGGAGGAGGTATTTGATTATTTCCCTCAGAGCAGAAGTTGAGGGACTCTGGTGATGTCCAGTCCCAGCTTTTATTTACCTCATTTGAGAATCCTATGGTTGTGTTTCTCCCCAATTCATGCATAGGGCATATATATATATATATATATATATATATATATATATATATATATATATATATATATATATATATATATATAAAGAATCACAAATAAAATTCCTAACCAAAGGGATTTGGACCAGGGGATCCACAGATGCTCTGTGTTCTCCTTCCTGCCTGGGACTGGGCTGATTAGCTCTTAGGGGCACAGAGGTGTCGGTGAGCCTTGTTTACAAGTAATAATCATAGCCTGTTATGAGACGAGAACTGCATCACATAGTGATCCATGCAGGAAGGATCTTAGCCCCTCTTCAGGGCCTCCTAAAGCAGCTGCCTGCCTCCTTCCCTGCCCACAGATCAGCTCTGTGATCCACCCCCCACTTGGTTGTCACTGAGAGGACACCTACAGCCTCCGAGCACTGCTTGAGAAACAATTCCTCCCCTCTCCCAAGCTCGTGTGACCCGACCTTGTCCCTGCCATCAAATCTCTTCCCAGAGGAGAAGGGACAGGGCCCTCAGCACCAGTATTTAGGAGATCATGCAAAGACGCTATTTTGACACTACTCCACTGGGAGTTGTGCAGTTTATTAAAGACTGGTTTTCAGAGCCCAGCCTCGAGGCAGGGGTCTCCCAACCATGGTCCACCCAGGCCACATACTCACGCCGAGATGAGCCCGGTGGATCTCCCTCGTAAGTGTCGGTACTCCTGCCAGGACCCCATGTCGGCTCTCTGGGGCATGGCCCCCTCTGCCCGGAGCACCTGAGCCACCATGTCTCGGTCTGCAATAGATACTACAGACTGAAGACCAAAGTGAGACTTGAAGATTTTTCCATATTCCTGTGTGTGCTTCTGCTGCAATACCATGGAGAAACCAAAAAAGGAAAAAATACAGATATGATATACCTTTGACATAAACATTTCTATGTGTTAGGGGAGAGAAAATTGGGGCAGAGGAAAGCTCTACATTATAGAGAGCTGAATCAGAGTTGTAACTTTACATATTCCTGAGATAAATGTACTTGCACGTCATTAACCATATTCACATAAGTTTTCTTATTCTTTAGAGCTATGTTTTTAACAATACTTAGCTGTGTGGAGCAACAGGAGAGAAATGTCATTATGGATGGAAATGAACTGCAGAGCCTTCAATGGCCTGAGCCGAAAAGACTGTGCCAGCCCCTGACCCAGACCCTCAGCAGCTCTGCCACCCTGTTCTGCAGAGAGAGAGCCCTCTGCAGGCAATCTGTAATGAACCTGTAAAAATGGCCCCCAGCAAGAAAATGAAAGAAAGCATCCAGATTAGAAAGAGAGAAGTAAAGCTACCTTTAATCAGAGAAGACATGGATCTCCCATATAGAAAATTCTAAGGAATCCACTAGAAAACTATCTGAGCTAATAAACAAGTTCAGCAAGCTTGCAGGATATAAGATCAATATACAAAAGTCAGTTGTATTTCCATATACTAGCAATGAACAATCCCAAAAGAAAAGTAAGAAAACAATTCCATTTATAATAGCATCAAAAACAATAAAATGCTTAGAAATAAATTTAACAAAGAAAGTGCAAAACTTATACTTTGAAAGCCATAAGAGATCATTGAAAGAAATTAAAGGAGACATATCCCATGTTCATGGGTTGGAAGACTTAATATTATTAAGATGGGAATACTCCCCAAATTGACCCATAGATTCAACATAATCTCTATCAGAATTTCTGTTGACCTCTTTGTAGAAAATTAACAAGCTTAAAATGGAAATGCAAGGGACCAAGAATAGAAAACAACCCTAAAAAAAAAAAAAAGAGCAAAGTTGAAGACTTCCCTTTTCTCTATTTCAAAACTTGCTACAAAAGCAACAGTAAGAGAGAAGGAAAGATGGCGGAGAAGTAGGGGACCCTATTCCAACTGGTCCCCGGAATTGAGCTGGATATCCACCAGACCACTCTGAGCACCCACGAAACCAGCCTGAGGTGTAAGAAGATCTGGATCTCTACAAACAATATCACAGGTGGTTGGTTTTGAGGTATGAAGCAGGGAGCTGTGATTCCATGGGCAGGTATCAGAGGAAAAACGGCAGCGGGAGGGTGCCTGGCCATGGGGATCCTACACCACCAGTGAGTGACAGCCTCGCACGCTGCGGACGGGGCACAGACTCACAGACTGGTAGCATCAGGAAAGGACTTTAGGGCAGCCCCCGGGGCGGAAACCAGGAGCAGCGGGGTCGAGGGGGCGAACTGGGAGCAGCTGGTGGTTTTAGAAGCACGAAGGGCAGAGACGTGCCCTGACCTGGAGGCAGGACTGGGAGCGCTGCGGAGGGGCGCACAACCCAGGACATTGCTGTTTATAGCAACACGGACAGAGACGGAGAGGGTTCGGACAGAGACGGAGATGATGTGGCCTGGAGAGCTCACTGAAGAACAGACTGTGATCTCTCCGCTCTGAGGCAGAGGGCTGGAAATGGTCTCTTCTGCTCTGACTCATGGGAGAGTTGCGGAAAGTCACCAGGGAAAGGCACCAGAGAACAAAAGCCCCAAAGACTGATTCCCACTGAGCCCATCCCCTGCCACAGGGGCGCAGGGCAATTCCACCCGAACAGGGTTGCCTGAGTAACAGCGCGGCAGGCCCCTCCCGCAGAAGACAGGCTGAGAAAACAAGAGGCCAGCAACCCTAAGGTCCCAAGAAAACAGGTGCATCTTGCTTGGGTTCTGGTCAATAATTTCGACTCTATACATTCCCTCAAACACCCGTCAACAGAATGACTAGGAGGAGGAACCCCCAAAATAGAAAAGACTCAGAGATTATGACTTATGCTGCAGATTTACAAATGGATGCAGACATAACCAAGATGTCAGAGATGGAATTCAGGCTAGCAATTGTGAAGACAATGGCTAGAATGGAGAAATCAATTAATGGCAACATAGAGCCTCTAAGGGCAGAAATGAAAGGTGAATTAGCAGAACTTAAAAATGCTATCAATGAGGGCGCCTGAGTGGCTCAGTTGGTTAAGCGACTGCCTTCGGTTCAGGTCATGATCCTGGAGTCCCTGGATCGAGTCCCACATCGGGCTCCCTGCTCGGCAGGGAGTCTGCTTCTCCCTCCGACCCTCCCCCCTTCATGCTCTCTCTCTCTCAGTCTCTCTCTCTCAAATAAATAAATAAAATCTTTAAAAAAAAATGCTATCAATGAGATCCAATCCAATCTAGATAATCTAACAGCTAGGGTAACTGAGACAGAAGAGAGAATAAGCGATCTGGAAGACAGTATAATAGATAAAAAGGGAAAAGAGGAGACCAGGGAAAAAAAACTCAGAATCCATGAAAATAGAATCAGAGAAATAAGTGACACCATGAGGCATTCCAATGTCAGAATAATTGGAATCCCGGAGGGAGTGGAAAGAGAGAGAGGACTAGAAGATGTATTTGAGCAAATCGTAGCTGAGAACTTCCCTAATCTGGGGAATGAAACATTCACATCCTAGAGGCAGAGAGGACCCCTCCCAAGATCAAGGAAAACAGGCCAACACCCCAGCATGTAATAGAAAAACTTGCAAATCTTAGAACCAAGGAAACCATCTTAAGGGCAGTTAGGGGGAAGAGATTCCTTACGTACAGAGGGAGGAACATCAGAATAACATCAGACCTATCCACAGAGACCTGGCAAGCCAGAAAGGCCTGGCAAGACATATTCAGGGTACTAAATGAGAAGAACATGCAGCCAAGAATACTTTATCCGACAAGGCTGTCATTTAGAATGGATGGAGAGATGCAGAGTTTCCACAACCGGCAGAAACTGAAAGAATATGTGACCACTAAGCCGGCCCTGCAAGAAATATTAAGGGGGGTTCTATAAAAGGAGAAAGACCCTAACAGTGATATACAACAGGAATTTACAGGGACAATCTATAAAAACAAGGTCTTCACAGGCAACATGATGACAATTAATTCATATCTTTCGATAATCACTCTCAATGTGAATGGCCTAAACGCTCCCATAAAACGGCCCAGGGTTGCAGACTGGATAAAAAGACAGGACTCATTCATACGCTGTCTACAAGAGACTCATTTTGAACCTAAAGATACATCCAGACTGAAAGTGAAGGGATGGAGATCCATGTTCCATGCCAGCGGACCTCAAAAGAAAGCTGGGGTAGCAATTCTTATATCAGACAAATTCGATTTTAAACTAAAGTCTGTAATAAGAGACACAGAAGGACACTCTATCATTCTTAAAGGGTCAATCCAACAAGAAGATCTAACAATTGTAAATATCTATGCCCCCAACATGGGAGCAGCCATCTACATAAGCCAATTGTTAACCAAAATAAAGAGTCATATTGATAACAATACGTTAATTGTAGGAGACCTCCATACTCCACTCTCAGCAATGGATAGATCATCTAAGTAGAAAATCAACAAGGAAATAAGAGCTTTGAATGATACATTGGACCAGATGGACCTCATAGATATTTACAGAACATTCCACCCTAAACAACAGAATACTCATTCTTCTCGAGCGCACATGGAACTTTCTCCAGAATAGACCACATACTGGGTCACAAATCAGGTCTCAACCAATACCAAAAGATTGAGATTATTCCCTGCATATTCTCAGACCACAATGCTCTAAAACTGGAACTCAATCACAAGAAAAAATTTGGCAGAAATTCAAACACTTGGAAGCTGAAGACACTCTGCTCAAGAATGTTTGGGTCAACCAAGAAATCAAAGAAGAACTTAAACAATTCATGGAAATCAATGAGAATGAAAACACATCGGTCCAAAACCTATGGGATACTGAAAAGGCGGTCCTAAGGGGGAAATACATAGCCATCCAAGCCTCACTCAAAAAATTAGAAAAATCCCGAATTCACCAACAAACTCTACACCTTAAATTACTAGAGAAAAAGCAACAAACGATGCCTAAGCCACGCATTAGAAGAGAAATAATTAAAATTAGAGCAGAAATCAATGAATTAGAAACCAGAAACACAGTAGATCAGATCAACAAAACTAGAAGTTGGTTCTATGAAAGAATTAATAAGATTGATAAACCACTGGCCAGACTTATCCAAAAGAAGAGAGAGAATTAATAAAATTATGAATGAAAGGGGAGAGATCACGACTAACACCAAGGAAATAGAAACAATTATTAGAAATTATTATCAACAACTATATGCCAATAAACCGAGCAATCTGGATGAAATGGAGGCCTTCCTGGAAACCTACAAGCTGCCAAGACTGAAACAGGAAGAAATTGACAACCTGAGTAGGCCAATAACCAGTAACCAGATTGAAGCAGTGATCAAAAACCTCCCAAAAAACAAGAGTCCAGGGCCTGATGGATTCCCTGGGAATTCTATCAAACATTCAAAGAAGAAATAATACCTATTCTACTGAAGCTGTTTCAAAAAATAGAAACAGAAGGAAAACTTCCAGACTCATTCTATGAGGCCAGCATTACCTTAATCCCCAAGCCAGGCAAAGACCCCATCAAAAAGGAGAATTTCAGACCGATATCCCTGATGAATATGGATTCCAAAATCCTCAACAAAATCCTAGCTAATAGGATCCAACAATACATTAAAAGGATCATCCACGACAACCAAGTGGGATTTAGCCCCGGGATGCAAGGGTGGTTCAACATTCGCAAATCAATCAATGTGATAGAACACATTAATAAGAGGAGGGAGAAGAACCATATGGTCCTCTCAATTGATGCAGAAAAAGCATTTGACAAAATACAACATCCTTTCCTGATTAAAACTCTCCAGAGTATAGGGAT